AATTAAGAAAACAAAAAATATTTCCCCTAATTTAGTCTATTTAAATATATTCTGAATTTATAAATAATAATTAACAGAAAGTCAGAAACTAGCTCTTCCCCCTCTTCCATATGCTGAATCTCGTCGATTCACGTCATCATCTACGTCCTCTGTCCTACCTCCAACGAGTTCATATGTCGTCGTCCTCCGTTGTCGATGCGAACCACAACCAGGGCAGCGATCTGAGCCCGTTGTCGTCAGGGATGAGCAGATCCCTGGATCTGGATCTGAATCTTTCTTGCTGTGCGGATGAAGTCGAAGAAGAACAGTCGGCAGAGTTTGCGATTGTGCAGATTTCAATCTTGGCGAGTTTGCTCTCAGTTTTGTCGATCTCGATCAAGTGGAGGAAAGGAGGGATGAAGATGATGTTGATGGCGGTAGAAAAGGACCCAAAAATTCATATTCCTATCGGTTGACGGCGGCGATGGACGAAAGAATATCGATTGGGTTGTTGGCTATTTGATGGGATGTTTGATGGCGATGGACGAAAAATAGTGATTGGGGTGATGGCGATCGTTTACTCTTCGATTAAGGGTTGTTGGGGAATGAAGAAGAATCGGCAGACATAGAGATCCGATGGGTGTCAAAGGGAAAGTGGTTGTCAAAGGGTGTGAATTTTGATTTTTTGGGTTTTTAGTTTTTGATTTTCTGGGTTTTTAGTTTTTTTAATCCACGTGGATTGGTGGGGACGAAATTTCGCCTACTCAGCATTTTCCGTTAGTCGAGTCATACAGTTAAGTGACACCGCTAATGGGTTGGAAGGAAATGACTATTTTGTGTATTTCGAAAGTTGTGGCTATATTTGTCACAAACGTGAAAGTTGTGTCTATGGAAGTGTATTTTTCCTTTTATAAATAAGTGAGAATAAGAACAAACAAAAGTTTACAAAAAACTAGTGGGTAGCCGAGATATAATTTGGGCCCTCACTTTCTTGGTTATAACAAAGTTAAGTCTAGTAAAAATGTAAGCGGCCTCCCGAGCACCTGCATCTCGAGACAGGGAAAATTTCTGGATCCGCTTGAGCAAAACCACGACATTCGTATCCAACTCTTCCGTCGAAGAAAAAAAAGGGCAAGAAACTGTAACCAGCCGCCATTTACAAGTCTCGTTACTTAGCACACTTTTGCTTAGCAGCATCAGCAACAACTCAGCCAGGGACAAAACCAGTCATCCCAATCTGAGTCAGAGGTGAAGACCCAGTCAAATCGACACACACATCTCACCCCCTGACCTAAGAATAAAACAGCAACTCTGCAGGATGTAGAGGGTCTGCCATGCCCATCAACCAAATCAATCAACCTCCCTACCCGCAAGAATCGCAGACCTGTAACAAATGTCCAATAAGGTGTCACAACTTGAGTTAATGTAAAAGTAAAAAATTAATAAAATAATGTCAATAATTTTTTAGAACCAACCTATATTAATACATGTATATTCAGTTCTTTCAATTAATAATTATGAAATTGAAAAATTAAAATTCATAAAGAAATCTACAATATAATCGAGAAAAATATGAGCCTTGGCCGATTATTGAAAACAGTGAATAAGATTGTAGATTGGAGCTCAAACTCTCTCATGCACTAGTATCGAACATCAGGGATACCAGATATATTGTTTGTGTCTTTCGTTTGATTTGTTTGTTTTGCTTTTCGTATTTCAGAATTTCTCTATCATGGTATTAGAACCTGGGGTGGATTTTGTAAAATTCGATAGTGCGCGGAAGGTAAAAGACACAGAACACCTCCAGAATTACGTGGTATCCCCGTTCAATGTGAACGGGACTAATCCACGGAGAGCTAGAAGCTCTCGGAGAAAAACTAATATGTGAGTCTCACTTTGCTTGATCGGCTACAGTGGCTGCCGAGAAGCATAAATAGAAAAGCTAACCAACTAACCCTAGCTCCTATCCTCAATATACACGGAGCAGGGGATAAATAGCAAAATGGTCCCCAAAGTAATTAAAATAACTAATTACAATTAAGGGATCTCTACACTCCCCCTCAAGCGAAGGAGTGAATGTCGAGAAGTCCGAGCTTGACGAAGAGATGATGAAACTGATCAACACTCAAACCCTTCGTAAAGATGTCGGCAGGCTGATCGGCGGTAGCTATCTTGACTGGAGTGATCTCTGACGACTGAACACGTTCACGGACGAAGTAACAATCCATCTCGACATGCTTAGTGCGCTCATGGAACACCGGATTAGCAGCAATGTGGAGAGCGGCCTGGTTGTCACAAAATAAAACAGTGGGACGAGCAGTGGAGACATCCAGATCACGGAGGAGCCAGCGTAACCAAACGATCTCACTAACAGTGCTAGCCATGGACCGGTATTCAGCTTCAGCAGAAGAGCGAGAAACAACGGTCTGCTTCTTAGTACGCCAAGAAATGGGAGAATCACCGAGGGTGATGAAAAAGCCTGTCGTAGATCGACGAGTGAGCGGGCAACCACCCCAATCAGCATCACAATAACCCTTCAAGACAAGGGGAGTCGAGGAAGAAAAAAAGAGACCACGTCCCGGAGAACCCTTGAGGTAACGTAGAACACGGACAACAGCAGCTTCATGTGCTTGAGTGGGAGACTTCATTGCCTGGCTAAGAATGTTCACGGCATAAGTGATGTCGGGACGTGTGACCGTCAAATAAAGAAGACGACCAACAAGGCGACGATAAGCAGCCGGGTCACGAGCAGGGGGCGATGGGTGGCGCCCTAAGTGGTGTTGCTGCTCGATGGGAGTGGAACAAGGACGAGCTGCCTCTAAACCGGTGTCAGCCAAGATGTCGAGGACATATTTGCGCTGGTTGAGGACAAGACCTGCAGGAGACCGGGCAACTTCGATCCCAAGAAAATACTTAAGTGGACCAAGATCTTTAATGGTGAAACGATCATGGAGAAAAGACTTAACCTGCTGGATGAACGGCAGGTCATTACCAGTAAGGATGACATCGTCAACATATATGAGGGCTATCACGAAGGTAGAACCACGTCGATAGGTAAACATAGCATGATCTGCATGACTCTGTACAAACTGAAACTCCAACAAAGCCTGGGTGAACTTCTGATACCAGTTACGAGAAGCCTGACGCAAGCCATAGATGGATTTGTGTAAACAACAAACCCGAGTATCTCCAGGATGAGAAAATCCTTGAGGAACAGTCATATAGACTTCCTCATCCAAGTCTCCGTGAAGGAACGCATTATTCACATCCAGCTGGTGAATATGCCACCCACGGGTAACAGCAACAGCAAGAACGCATCAAACTGTGACCAACTTGGCCACCGGAGCATAGGTATCATGGAAATCCACTCCTTCTACCTGAGTAAAACCCTTAGCGACTAAGCGCGCCTTGTAGCGCTCGATGGAACCGTCAGGTCGAAACTTAATCTTAAACACCCATTTACAAGCTATAGCTCGTTTGCCGGGAGGTAGGTGGACTAGAGACCATGTTCCATTAGCTTCCAAAGCATTAATCTCGAGCTGCATAGCATCACGCCAGTGCTTAAACCGAACGGCTTGAAAGAAGTGAGCAGGTTTGTCAATGGCCGTGATGGCAGCAATGAATGCATGGTGAGCAACGGATAGCCTGTGATAGCTAAGATAATCATCAAGAGGATAGAGTACTTGGGCCGAATTGGTCGCGCCGGGAAGCTGAACATCGTATCCCGCTAGCCGAGTGGAGGGCCGACGGATACGATCTCCTCGGCGGGGTAGCTGAGCAGGTGGTGAAGCAGAGTTGTGGTCGACGCTGGCTGGAGGCGAAGAGGTAGCATCGGCCAAGGGGCTAGAAGAATCCGCCTCGGCACTAGAAGAAGGAGCCTCAGTGCGAGAAGAAGAAGCTTCGGAAGCAGAAGCTGGCTGTACTTGTGCAGAAGACGTCACGTCCTGCATGGGAGAAGAACACGACGTGGAATCATGCAGGGGAAGAGCCAAGGCGTGATCTGGCTTTGGTACCGCAGGGACGACGAATGCATCATCATCATCATCGTCGTAAGAGGGTAGGGAAGCTTGAGGCTGCGAAACAGAAACCGCAGCAGGATTGAGCCGAGTCTCCTCAAAATCCCGATACGGGTAAACATGCTCTAGAAACTTGACATCGCGAGAGGTGTATATGAATTTCTTCTCGATGTCATAGATACGGTAACCACGTTGTGCCGAGGGATACCCAGGAAAAATGCCAGCTCGACCCCTGTCACCAAATTTATGCAACCCATGATGATTGTCACGGGCATAAACAAGACAACCGAAGCTCCGAAGGTGATCATACGTGGGATCTTTCTTAAACAAGACCTGAAACGGCGACTTATGCGCAATGGAGACCAGCGGCATCCTGTTGATAAGTGATGACTCGATATTTGCACATGTTTTCCCCTGTGTTTCTTGATCGTTTGAGCTTTAATTATCACATCTTTGGCCTATTTTACGCTAGGTTGTGTTCCTTTGTCATATTTCAGGTCCTAGCACATAAAGTGAAGCATAGGCGCAAGTTTCAAGTCAATCAGAGATCAATTGGCGATTCGGGAGCAGAAACTCGGGCATGACCTGAAGAAGAATGGATTTCTACCTCACTTTATGGACAGAGAATCATGCAAGCTTGTTATGAAACGAAAGAGGACGAGACTACGAGCGTCTAGGATCAAACGGCGACTGATTCGGAGTCCGGACGAGGGAGAAACGAAGCATTAAACAGAGGCTGAGCAAGCTGCACGGGCAGACCAGGGAGGCGCACGGCCGTGCAACATATAATTCTGGCCGTGCGCTCTCTGCCGAGGCCTTGCACGGGCAAAATCCAGCCTTGCACGGCCGTGCACCTGGCCGTGCAAGATGGCTGAGATCGATTAAGTGAAACGGTGCGTTTTAGGGCTGCACGGCCAGAATGGTGAGGTGCACGGCCGTGCACCCTGGCCGTGCGGGTCGGGAATTGTTGTTTAAAACCCGATTTTCAGCGAAAGGAGAGGGGGAGAGCTGGGTTTTTGGATCCCAAACACCCAAGGGACGAACCAAAGAGAGAGGGGGCGATTTGAGGGCATTCTTGGAGTGGAATTGGAGGATTTCTTCGCCTTGGAAGCTCGAGGAACAAGCCCGGACTTGAAGACTGATCATCTGAAGATTCTTACTGCAGTCTCTCTCTTCTCTATGGAGTAACTTCCCTTCATTTAGGTTTTGAGGAACCCTAGCTATGTTTGTTTGATTGGATGATTGTATGAGTACTCTGACTTGATAATCTTGAGTTCATATTCAATCTATGCATGTTTTCACGATTCAATTCTGCTTTAGTCGAGATTATTGATTCTGCTTTGATCCTATGAGAGCGAATACCTGATTAGGTCAATAGAGCACCATAGATTGATAGTAGTGAATCGATTGCTTTAGTCGACGGTTGATTCACTGCTTTGTATCGATTGAGAACCTCTTTCGATAGAGGGAGTCTAGCTCAGAACGCCTTGATCGGTTGTTCTAGAGAAGGATACGTCCCTCTAGGCAATTGACTCAAGAGGGCCTTGTTCCTTTAGTCGAGACTCAAGGTCTAGTCAAGGATTCTCCGCATTGTGAATGAAAGTGAAACAAGTTAGAGATCATCAATCGTTAATCTGGCTAGTGGCTAGGGGGAATCATACCTAAGTGAGTTCCCAACCTGTAATTAGATTAACTTTAACTGTAGTTTGCTAGAGTAGTTTTAGTTCTTTCAACTTAATCTGTTTTGCTAGATAACGAACTGAAGCTGAGTAATAGTAACTCTAGAGACCCGTGGATTCGATATTTATTACTTGAGCCACTATACTGCAGTCCCTTTCATTGGTTACACTTGGCCATTGTTAGGAGTTGTGTTTTAGCGAGTCAAGTTTTTGGCGCCGTTGCCGGGGAATTTCTAGATTATTAGGAAAGGCAGAAGTTTGTTACTTTAGCGTTTTTCTTTTGTTTTCCACCCTTGCTTTTCACTTGGGTGTTTTTGTTTTTGTTGGTGCAGATCTGAATCATGGATCCTCATGGCTTCTCCAACCATTGGGGGTATCCACCACCATCCGAGTGGTATTACCCCGAGACACCCTGGAGCAATCAAGGAGGAGAAGACTATGGATCCGGGTTCCAGTACCAACCCCCTTTCTATGGAGAACAATCTGACCCCTGGGCATATCAAGGACAATCTCATTACCAAGAAGACTTCCTCCCACAACCAGAAGGGCCATCAGCGCTGGAGTTACCCATGGCGGCCTTCACGGGCCATTCTGCAGAGCCATGCTACACTCCACAGCCAGATCCAAACTATGAACTGAGGCTTCTCTTGGAGCAGTTTACTCGAGCCTGTGAGAGAACATGCTCTAGGATGGATCCTCAAATCCAGGCCCTTCCCTCTTCCGATCCCTCATATCTCCGTGATATGGAGGAGGCTGTTCAACGCTCAGCGAAGCAAACAGAGTGGGTTGAGCAAGTTTGTGCACAACTTGCTCAAGATCACCCTTCTGCTACCATACAAGAAGAGGAGGAGGAAGAAGAAGGCTACACGGACATTAGGGAGCACACAGAAGTTGTCACAGAGAGCTCCCGTGATGATCATGATCAGGAATGTCCAGTCGTAGCCGACCACCCTTTCCCACATCCCACACTGCGCTTTGAAGAGGTGGGCATGAGTGAGGAGATGCAAGAAGATCTCATGAAAGAAATTGCTTGGCAACTTGCTCTCCAATCCGTGCTAGAAGAAGAAGAGCAAGAAATGGTGCAGAAAGAGGTTGTGGAGGATGACGAAAGCGAAGCAGGAGGAGTTCTTGATCATTTCCCAGGGATGATACCACATGAAGAAGGAAGGGAGGTTGAAGGAGCAATTGGCGTCCAGGCCGAGGACGAAGTTGAGGTGGAAGAGGCTTGCACCGGCCATGAGTTACATGTGATATCTCCACCAAACTTCGAGGAATTGCTCAGCAAGGACCCATTTGCAGTGTCTCTTTGCCAGACCAAGGCCACATCGACATCGGTCCCTCTTGGTGGACGCGATGGTGGCCAATCGATGCTGTCTTATCTGGTTTGGGGCAATGAGACGAGAGAAGAGAAGAAGAGGTCTCGAGGGTGGAGACTTCATCTGCATCAAGTACACGAGCCTTCATCACCTGCCACACCACATGCTCGTGACTTGAGACTCCACCTCATCGACGAGAACCTCAACTTCAAGGAGGTTCTAGCATGGACCGAAACTTAGGAGCCATCGTCCGGCTCACGACGTGAAAGAAGCGCTTGTTGGGAGGCAACCCAACCAGTCGGTTTGCATTTCTTTCTCTATTTATCCTCGGTTGAGTCAGTTTTGTTATTTGATTTTAGAGTCAATAACTCAACCTTTGTGAGATTTTGTGTGGTGTTTGTGTTCTGATTACTCTCTCTTCCTGGAATGCACCGCCTGCCCCGTCCATCATCATTCACCCTTGATCTGGTAACTTCGTTCTACCCTCCTTATCTTTCCTCCATTGAGGACAATGTCGTGCTTAAGTGTGGGGGGGTGTTCGATTATGTATGCGGGTGAATGTTTGGCTGTTTGTGTGCTTGGAGCCTAGTCCACTGTCCAAATTTTAAATTTGAGGGCTCCAAGTACGTGTTTCCTTGCAAATTGCCTGCTCAGTATGCTTTGAATTGACAGTCTCTATAGTAACGTGCAACCTAGGGAGGTAGTGTAGCACTATGGAGGATGTTGAAGTATAAGATTTTTCCTATCTAGCTCTCTGCTGTGTCAGTTGATTTTGTGAATTAGTGGAGCTAAGACCGTTGAATTCATGTGGTAATGGTGACTCTATTTTGATTGTGTTATGGACTCGTGTATCGAACAGGGTGCTCATGTGGCAAATGAAAAGCAGTTGGTCCTCCATGTCGAAATCATCAAAAATCTTAAACATGGGGTAAGCCCAACGTGTGTGGCACCGTTCATTGCACAAAATCGGGTTTTGGAAGAGATTTTAGTGATCCTTAGTGGGGTACTCCCACAAGGTGAAGCTAAGCTGTCTCTAGTACAAGTAAAACTTCCACCCGTTGAACGGTTTGCCTACTCGAGGATGTGTTTTTAAGGGCACGGATAGAGCTTCCGACCCCCCTTAATTTCATTGACCCTCCACACGAGTTGAGGAAAAGGAGTTAAAAGAAGTACTCTGGCGAGCGCCAGATGTACAGAAATTGCTCTTGCTCGACTAATAAGGGTCGACCGTGCAAAAGACTGCAGTTGGAACCCCCGCCAAGTGAATAAAAAGGGAAAAAAAAGTAAGTAAAATGAAAGTGAAAAAGGGGTTCCAACGGTGAAATGAAGTGAAAGAGCACCCCGGTACAACGAGTCCTTGGTTGTGAATGGTGTGAGTCCCTTTATCCATGAACTGACTGTCTTACTTCTACTTTTTCTCATGATCCTGGCTTGAGTCTAGTACTCGCATTGAGAAAGATAGGGGACGTCTTAGAAGACCAGTTGACCTCGTAAGCTGCTTTATGATCTAGAAAGTCCTCTACCGACGATCGGGGTTGTTTGTTGCTATAGAGTTCTGGAGAGCTGCATTGGTTTGAGTTAGGTTTGCTTGGGGACAAGCAAACGGTTAAGTGTGGGGGGATTTGATGACTCGATATTTGCACATGTTTTCCCCTGTGTTTCTTGATCGTTTGAGCTTTAATTATCACATCTTTGGCCTATTTTACGCTAGGTTGTGTTCCTTTGTCATATTTCAGGTCCTAGCACATAAAGTGAAGCATAGGCGCAAGTTTCAAGTCAATCAGAGATCAATTGGCGATTCGGGAGCAGAAACTCGGGCATGACCTGAAGAAGAATGGATTTCTACCTCACTTTATGGACAGAGAATCATGCAAGCTTGTTATGAAACGAAAGAGGACGAGACTACGAGCGTCTAGGATCAAACGGCGACTGATTCGGAGTCCGGACGAGGGAGAAACGAAGCATTAAACAGAGGCTGAGCAAGCTGCACGGGCAGACCAGGGAGGCGCACGGCCGTGCAACATATAATTCTGGCCGTGCGCTCTCTCCCGAGGCCTTGCACGGGCAAAATCCAGCCTTGCACGGCCGTGCACCTGGCCGTGCAAGATGGCTGAGATCGATTAAGTGAAACGGTGCGTTTTAGGGCTGCACGGCCATAATGGTGAGGTGCACGGCCGTGCACCCTGGCCGTGCGGGTCGGGAATTGTTGTTTAAAACCCGATTTTCAGCGAAAGGAGAGGGGGAGAGCTGGGTTTTTGGATCCCAAACACCCAAGGGACGAACCAAAGAGAGAGGGGGCGATTTGAGGGCATTCTTGGAGTGGAATTGGAGGATTTCTTCGCCTTGGAAGCTCGAGGAACAAGCCCGGACTTGAAGACTGATCATCTGAAGATTCTTACTGCAGTCTCTCTCTTCTCTATGGAGTAACTTCCCTTCATTTAGGTTTTGAGGAACCCTAGCTATGTTTGTTTGATTGGATGATTGTATGAGTACTCTGACTTGATAATCTTGAGTTCATATTCAATCTATGCATGTTTTCACGATTCAATTCTGCTTTAGTCGAGATTATTGATTCTGCTTTGATCCTATGAGAGCGAATACCTAATTAGGTCAATAGAGCACCATAGATTGATAGTAGTGAATCGATTGCTTTAGTCGAGGGTTGATTCACTGCTTTGTATCGATTGAGAACCTCTTTCGATAGAGGGAGTCTAGCTCAGAACGCCTTGATCGGTTGTTCTAGAGAAGGATACGTCCCTCTAGGCAATTGACTCAAGAGGGCCTTGTTCCTTTAGTCGAGACTCAAGGTCTAGTCAAGGATTCTCCGCATTGTGAATGAAAGTGAAACAAGTTAGAGATCATCAATCGTTAATCTGGCTAGTGGCTAGGGGGAATCATACCTAAGTGAGTTCCCAACCTGTAATTAGATTAACTTTAACTGTAGTTTGCTAGAGTAGTTTTAGTTCTTTCAACTTAATCTGTTTTGCTAGATAACGAACTGAAGCTGAGTAATAGTAACTCTAGAGACCCGTGGATTCGATATTTATTACTTGAGCCACTATACTGCAGTCCCTTTCATTGGTTACACTTGGCCATTGTTAGGAGTTGTGTTTTAGCGAGTCAATAAGATAAGCAGCCGTGAGCACACACTCTCCCTAGAATTTGATGGGTAAGTTAGCATGGAACCGCAAAGCACGAGCAGTATCGAGAAGATGCCGATGCTTGCGTTCCACCACTCCATTCTGCTGAGGAGTATCGGTACAGGAGGTCTGCAGAATGATCCCTTTCTCTGCATAATAATCGAGTAATACATTACTAGCAAATTCAGCCCCATTGTCTGCTTGGATACGGCGCACCTGTCCCCCAAACTGTGTCGCCACCATGTTGCAAAAATATAATAAATGCTTGCCTACATCAGATTTGTAGCGCATCAAGAAAACCCATACTGCTCGGCTAAAATCATCAACAATAGTCAGGAAATAATACGCTCCTGAGATGGACGCAGTCTTATAACCGCCCCAGATGTCCACATGAATTAATTCAAAACAAGAAGTGGACTTGATGCTACTGGAAACAAAAGAATTCCTAGTTTGCTTAGCACGCAAACAAGACCGACAAGGTTCCTTAGTCTGAACAAAAGAACAATCAAGATATTTCTGCAACATCCCATCCCATCTGCATGCTTACCCATCCCAATCAGCCTCTTGGAGGGTAAGTCCTGAATCACACAGAAGTCACGCAAAAAAATCAACGCTACCGGCAGATCCGCTGTAAGACGACTAACGGAGAGAAGGTTGCACTGAAAAGCAGGCACATGAAGCACACGACGCAGTAATAGATTTTTAGACAATCGTGTTGTTCCAATACTATGAACTTTAACCCCTGTACCATTCGGAATTTTCACCTGTAAAGCCGGGGAAGTATCCAACTCGGCATCCAACATGGAAACATGATTAACAATGTGCTCGTTACACCCCGAGTCTATAACCCAAGTAGATGACTGAGAAGAAGAGGAATACGTACCGGCCATGTTCGAAGAGGGTTCATGCGACGAAGAAGATGGCTGTTGTAAATCAGAGGACAACAGCGCCTTGACTTGTGCAAATTGGCTCGCGGTGAGGCCGGGCAGAGGGCTATCGGCGGCATCCACCTGAGCCGCCTTTGGTGACTGCTGAGACTGACGATCAGGCCTTGCTCGGCGCTTTCCGTCGCCTCTGTCGGACCCGCGATCACCCTTCTCTCGATTCGGAAAGCCAATGATCCTGTAGCAAGTTTCTTTCAGGTGGCCGAGTCGATTGCAATGGGAGCAGCGGGGTTTGTCGTTGTCATCACGATTAGCACGACTGGGAGGGCGATCCACGCGATGCTCCCCCTGAGTTTGGAAGGCCGCCGCTTCTAGCTGAGGACGACGGCTTTGGGCAATCTGCCTTTGTTGCTCGTCATTAATTACCATCTGGTAAGCCTCCGCAATGCTCGGAACTGGCCTCATAGCTAGGATTTGGGACTTTACTGTGCTGAAAACATCATCCAAACCCATCAAAAAATCGAATAGGCGCTCACTTTTCCGTACTTCGCGGTGCCTCTTTTTCACGTCACAATGGCAGCCTGCGCACGTGCATTCAAGGGATGGTGTGAGCGACTCCTTCTCGTCCCAATATCCACGCAATTTAGTGTAGAATGCCGAGACATAGGACTTCTCTTGTTGAAGCCCATTGATCTTGCGTTTAAGGTCATACAAACGCGAAGCACTTCCTTGACCGAAGCGGGATTGTAGATCAATCCATATCTTGCGCGCGGTAGCCGCGAATCGGACGCTGCTCCTTACCTCCTTTGTCATAGAGGTTTTGAGCCAACCTTTAACCATGGCGTTACATTGCCGCGATGCTTCTTTCTCTGCGGCAGTCTGGGGATCCGAAAGCGTCCCATCGACAAATCAGAGTTTGTTCTTCGCAATCAGAGAATCGGTGATGTCGACGATCCATTCACCATAATTAACGTCGTTAAGGAGCTCCCCCACAAACAGATTACTGGGGTTGTCGGATTGATGTAAGACAAGATGAGGAGGCAACGCGACCTGCGCGCTACCCTGCATCACCTTGGACGACGAGTTCTTGACCGAACCTTCATCATCAGAAGCCATGATTGCTGATCCCTTTAATCAGACCAGCTCTGATACCATGTAAAATTCGATAGTGCGCGGAAGGTAAAAGACACAGAACACCAGAATTACGTGGTATCCCCGTTCAATGTGAACGGGACTAATCCACGGAGAGCTAGAAGCTCTCGGAGAAAAACTAATATGTGAGTCTCACTTTGCTTGATCGGCTACAGTGGCTGCCGAGAAGCATAAATAGAAAAGCTAACCAACTAACCCTAGCTCATATCCTTAATATACACGGAGCAGGGGATAAATAGCGAAATGGTCCCCAAAGTAATTAAAATAACTAATTACAATTAAGGGATCTCTACAGATTCCGATCGCATCTCTGTTCGACTCGACGCCAAGAATTTCACCCTTTGGGAGTTGCAGTTCCGAATCTTTGTACAAGGGCGCATGCTCTTCTTGATTTTGAGTTGCGAATCCACTCGACCCATGGTTCCTCCTGCTGATCGTGATTGCTGTAAGGACGAGAATAATGCAAAGCTAAGGAGGCTTCGTAGGAAGTTCGGGCAGAAGTCCAACCCAACTACCTAGCGCCATCGGTCGTCCTCGATTTGGCCAGAAAGTCCACCCAGCTCCCTTAGCAATCCCTCTCACTTTTTGCCATGTGATCGAAAGTCAACAGTCCTTTGACCTCCATCTCATCCACTGTTATCTTTAACGGTCAAGAAAAGTGTTAAGATACAAATTGTTGGGCGCAGCGGGTGAGAATAGCGGGTAAATATATTGCACTAAAAAATCTCACGCTTGTAAAAAGTTCACAAATAAGTTGGACCTGGTGGCAGAGCCTCCAGAATTACGGTAACCAACTTACTTAGATCAATTTACTTCGTTAATTTAATAATGCAATATACTACGACTATTCTCAAAATAACAACAAGCATAGATAATAATAAATGACACCGAGGATTTACGTGGTATACCCTGATTTTGGGCCAGTCCACGGGAACAGCAGCTCCGGAGTATTTCTTTACTATAACAATGGTAGGTTACAGAGATTTTCTCGATACAAGAAATAGAACACACGGTGTTTCCCAAACAACCTCACTATTTCACTCACAAGGAAATCTCCTATCTACCCGTGGTAGTGAAAACGTTTCACTACCAAAAACCCACAAAAGAAATACGAACAGAATCAGAGCAAAGGAGAGGAAATGGAGAATAATGGAATGGTGAGGGATGATCTTTTGAGGCTACTGCCTCTGCCTTTTATAGGCTAGCAAGGAAGAGGGGTTTTAATTCTAGTGGATGGATTGCCAACCGTCATCTCCTCCCTCAATTTAAGTTTTGTTTTTTTTTTTATTAATTCATTATCACCGCCAGCCTTGTTGGCCTTTTCCCTGCCACATGAGCCGGGCCCAATAATTCTCCCCCGCCCGACTACATGGGCGACGTCGTCATCCCTGCACCTGATCGACAGAACTCAAACTTTTTTCTTGGAAGAGTCTTGGTACACATGTCAGATCCATTTTCGTCAGTATGGATCTTCTCTAGTTGTAACTGCTTCATTTCAAGCACATCTCGTATCCAGTGATATCGAACATCAATATGTTTTGATCGAGCATGAAATGATGCATTCTTCGCAAGATGAATAGCACTTTGACTGTCACAGAACAGCTGCGGTTGTTCCTGTAGGAACCCAAGTTCATTTAGGAACTTCTTCATCCATATCATCTCCTTGCATGCTTCCGTTACTACTATATACTCAGCTTCTGTTGTGGAAAGAGCTACACACTTTTGTAGCCTTGACTGCCACGATATTGCTCCCCCTGATAAGGTAATCAGGTACCCAGAAGTGGACCTCCTCGAATCAACATCACCTGCCATGTCAGCATCTGTATAGCCAACAATGACAGGTGCACCATCTCCAAAACATATACTCATTTTGGAGCTACCTCGAAGGTATCTGAGGATCCACTTCACAGCTTCCCAATGTTCCTTTCCTGGTTTGGAAAGAAATCGACTGACAACTCCAACTGCATGAGCAATATCTGGCCTTGTACACACCATGGCGTACATCAAACTTCCCACTGCTGAAGTATATGGGATTTTATCCATCTCCGTCATTTCCTTCTCGGTAGACGGGCTCTGTTTGGATGTCAATGTAAAGTGGTTAGCAAGAGGACAGCTAACTGCCTTAGCATTATCCATGTTGAAACGTTGAAGTACTTTCTCAATGTACTTTTCTTGTGACAACCATATCTTCTTGGCACCTCGATCACGAATGATCCTCATGCCAAGAATCTGCTTTGCTGGTCCCAAGTATTTCATGGCAAAAGACTTGCTCAACTCCTTCTTCAAATCATTGATTTTTGAGACGTTCTGCCCAGCAATTAGCATATCATCCACATA